ATATATATATATATATATATATATATATATATATATAGTTTTATTATGCAAGGTTATACAGTTACATATCTGATTTTATACAAAAAATTAACATTAAGAGGACACAAAAAAAAATTTCGCTTCCTAGAGGCTGTAGATTTCCTCGAACTCCTCCGACGCTGGGCATGAACCGAGGATGCAGCGAGCATTCCCCCTCTGGATCGCGACACTGAGGCGCTGAAAGAGAAAACTTGCTGCTCTAGGGTCTCTTGTGGTGTCAATGAGCTTGGAACCAAGATCCTTAAGAAACCTTCTTGCACTCTCTCCCCATGGGCCTAGGGTCTCAGACCCTATTGGTATATATATATATATATATATATAATATATATACCGTGTCCAAACCCCGTTCAAGGAACCTATTTGCAACATATCTGCACAGTCATTCATTTTCTCACGCGTATGCACGTGTTCATTCATTTCCAAACGTGAGCACACACTCATATCTCTCTGTAGGTGCGTGTGGATGCTTACTCTTTATTTATTTATTTATTTATTTATGCATATACAAGAATGTACATAAGGAATGTGAGGATACAAATATGGTAATTAAAGTCTTGTAAAGCCACTAGCACGCGCAGCGTTTCGGGCAGCGAAATGAAAAATTTCGGGCTCTACTGTTTTAACACCATCAGTAATAATAATTAATAATAATAATAATTTATTATTATTTTTATAATAATAAATATTACGTAATATTAAGTAATATTACGTCAGAAACAGCATCTGACGACAAAATCTCACGACTAATTATCAGAAGATTTATATATATATATATATATATATATATATATATATATATATATATATATATATATATATATATATATACACAAGAAGTTACATTGGGGGTTAACAGAGAAAATAGAAAATAAGTTGAATTAACATTGTTGTAAAGCCTAGCACGCATGTGTGCTAGGCTTTACTCTACTGTATATATATATATATATATATATATATATATATATATATATATATATATATATATATATATATATATATACAGGAATTGCCCTAGCGTTTCGGGCAATTTCGGGCAAGATGTCATATCTGACATCCACAAGGGGCGGGCGGGTTGGGGGTGGGGGGGTGCGGCCAGTCTGACTAGGGGGCAACGCTCCTATTCTCCTGGTTTGATAGTTCTTTTTGTAACTGTTGTCGATCGTACCAACATGTAGTAATGGAGCCCCAGTATGCCATATATTGTAATTTTTGTTTTATTGAATGAGGAGAAAATAAAGCTAAAACTAAACCTCAATACTCGTAGGCCTAGCATACCACTTATATAGTAGGCTTCAGATAACGTGTTAGAAACACGTTATCTGAGGCCGCGGGGACACTAAAAGCCCCGAAATCATCAAGATAACCTCAAGATAACTGCTCTTGTAAAGTTATTTCCTCAAGGCTGATAGATAGGATGATGAGGTTAGCTTTCATTGGCAACAGAAATATACCAACTTTTCCGGGTTGTCCAAATTCAGTACTTACAAAAGTTTACTTTCTGCTGTTCCATCACATTATAATACACTACTTTCTACCACATCTATAAATACTTCCATGTTAGGAGAACGGTCTGCAGTTTTCTAGTATAGAATAGGACACAATCTGGGAGTTATATTAACTTGTAGATAGAGACGCGCGTGGCGGTTTCACCAACAGTAAGTTAAGGGTCCTCTGATAGGTTAGGTGGGCAGGAAATTCTCATAAAGTTTCAAAACGTTATGAAAAACGTTAATGTAAAGTGTCCTCTCATAACGTCTGCGCGTAGGCGGGACGACTCAAATAGAAAACGGAACAGAACGTCACTTTTGTGAGTCGATTTCATTTCAAATTACGTCCAAATTTAGTCATATCGCGCATACGAACCAAAAGTGACGTTCTTTTTAGGAGGACGGGTTGCACAGGGCAAGGTTCACAGTGATTACAGTGAGTCAGGTCATTACAAGACTTGACTCACTGTTCTTGTAAAGGTATTTCCTCAAGGCTGGTAGATCCCAGCCACCATGTCTCTGTACTAAGAGATGAGGCTATTGCTATCCCTCTTTTGTTTATATAACATCTTAAAGCTGGTGCTTTTTTTTTGCATTCTTAATATTTAAATGTATAATTGATAATTGGATGTTTTTATATAAGACTATAATTCAGGGAAGTAGATTTCTGCAGAGATCTACAGGTAACTGCAGAAGGCCTATTGGCCCATAGGATGCTGCTCCTATTCATACCCACCCAATCCCAGTCATAAAGAAAATTTTATCAGTGTACCTCACTTCACCTCTCTCCTGCCTATATATGTCCACATCGTTTTACTTGTAACTCACCCTTTTGAAGATGGATTATTAAATACGAAAGTACTTAAGGAAATTCCTGTTTCAATTCTTCTTCCGTGGTCTGACACTGTCACATTTTTCATCACGTGTTAATTTTTGTGATTTACACACACACACACACACACACACACTGGTGGAGGCTGTCTCCATACACAGTTTCAAGTGTAGATATGATAGAGCCCAATAGGCTCAGGAACCTGTACATCTGTTGATTGACAGT